ATTTGAAGTGAAACTTCTTACTAACAGCTATTAAATTGCAAGATTTGAAGAACATGTTTGAAAAAGTGTAGTTTAAAATGTTGAAAAAGTAATAAATAGTTTTTTACACGTAAACAACATTTATAAACTGAAAGTGTAAAATACTTACATATATTAAATTAAAAATGAAGAAAATTATGTAGTAAGAAATATGGTAATATCTGTTTGTATAATTTCAAGGATGAATAAAGACTTATCATTATTATTATTAGTTAATAAGTGACATTAAAATATTAATAGTAACAAACTAAATTAATAGTAACCAGGGGCGGATACAGGAATTTATTTTAGGGGGGGCCCAAATAAAAAATAATGTAGAATATGCTTTTTAGGGCGCTATTTTTAACCCAAAAGCCTAATATTTAACCCAAATTGTGGATTTTAGGGGGGGCCCGGGCCCCATGGCCCCCCCTCTGTATCCGCCACTGATAGTAACAAACCTAAATATTTCTCAAAACCGATGTTTTATTTGAATGTCTCATTTTTCACCTAAATATGGAGCGTCTCATTTTTACACCACTAGGGTCAATTGGTGTAACATAGTCAAATAAACAAAATTACTCTCAAAACATACCTCATTTACACAATCCAAATTTGAAATGATATTCAGTCTAACTTCTGGACATTCATCTTTGAGTTGTGTCAGGAAGAGGGGCAGTAAATGTTCAATGGTATTGTGACGGCCTAAAATGGGGCTCAGGCCCATTATAACTGATGCCAGGGCTGATTTAACGTGTTGATTTGGATCGGCAACCTAGAAAAACACACTTAGATTAATATAATAAATATTTATAGAAAAATTAATGAACAGCAACCTAGATGTAAACTTGAAATAAAAATGTAAACACTTCCCCTGCATTAAAATCAGAAAAACTTACCAATTCTTTCACACAAGGTAATATATTTGTCATGATAATGTTCTCTTGGTGGGTTTTGTCCAAACTCTGGCAGAAATCTTTCACTTTGTTAGCCGCTGCAGCTCTAACTTCAGCCTCACTATCTTTGAGAAGAGTCTGGAAGGCAGGAACCAGGTCTGTTCTAGTTATTTCTGGTCCCACTGCCTTTTGGAGTTCTGTAAATTTGTCAGCCACCATGTAGCGTACTCTCCAAGATGTATCACCTAAAAAAAAATCAAAATTTTAAAGTTCAACCTAACAAAAATAATAAGAATGCAATAATACCTGTGCATTGTCTTAAAGTTGGCATTACAAGTTGCTCTACATCTTCTTGAGGCAACAATGTAGCAATGCTGACACAATCTTCGACTGCAAGAAGTCTTACAGAGTCCTAAAATAAACATGTTAAACAAAAAAACATCAAAATTGAGAATAAGTCAGCAATAACCTGTTCATCCTGTGCCAAATTTACAAACATTGGTATCAAATCAGACTTTAAGTATTCCAATTCAACCACCTGAGCTAATTCTCCTAGTTTTGTAGCTGCTGCACGACGAACCATCGGTGTATCATCTTGACATAACAGTTTGAAATGAGCTCGTAAGTCATTCTTAATAGTAGAAGATACTCTGGGATAGCAAGCCTAAAATATTTACTGTATTATAACAGACTCTTTTAAAACAAAATATAATTTATTACTGAAAATAGTCCACACACTGAAGTTCTGGAAGTGAACCAGTCTCCAGCTGCCAATCTCTGTACTAGAGGTACGAAATGTGTCTCTAAATCGGCAGGGCTATGTTGTTGAGCTACAGCTCTAAGAGATTCAACTGCTTTGTCACGAACAACCTAAAAAATTTAAACAGATAGGTAACAAAATGTTTTTTTTCTTAATAAAAAAAATGTCTTACTGTTTCTTCTACAGTAGCTAAGCTCTCTAGGGGTGGCAAAAGACAATAAGCATATTCGGGGCCCCCTACTAACGTTATAAATTGGCCTAATTGTTCGGCTAGAGCCAAGAGAACTTCATCTTCATCGTAAATAGTTTCAGTTAGAAATGGTATCAATTCAGTTCGAGTTCTTTCAACTCCAAGGGCAAGTGCTATAGTTGATAATTTCTTAATTGAGTTCAAACGTAGCTAAAAAAATATAAACAAATTATTAATTAGTAATAACGTATTTATTATGATCACTAATTTGAGAATGTGTAAAAATGAAGATAAAATAAATAGTCATGAATAATCCGATAACGGACACTTAATTTCAATAAATAATAACTTATTAGTCATTTTTCCCAAAAAAATATACAGGTGTAAACTTCAGATAAAAATATGGAGCATTGAATTGATTTTTTTTTGGATAAAAATGAACTCTTGATAATTTTAACAGGGGGTAATTAAAGACTTCGTAAAAACTTACCTGAACATCTTCGTTTTTGAGTTCATCAATTAGGACGGCGATGGGATACAAAGAATCGTCGCCCGCAGAATCGCTGGCTGCCATTGTAGAGCCGAGTCCAGTGGAGATCGCCGATATCGTCGTTTTTATTCGATTTTAAGAACGCGTTCCTTATATAACGAAGTGGCAGATCGCTTTAGCAACTCCGTTATTAGCTAAAATTGGATAAAACGTGTGGAGATTTACTTACAAATTTTAAAAAAGGTCGATGAAACTTCAACGAGCGGTCTTGTCTTATTTTGCAGTCTTTTTTGGCATGGATGAGAGGGCGCTGCTAATGCTAGTTAAAAAAGTGACATTTGAAAAGAGCGGGGTATTTGAATATGGGATATATTTATTATATATTTTTTAATTTTATTTAGTATTTTTTAACCACTTTTTAACCATGATCAAAGTAATTTAGTTCAGACTAGATTTATTTGAATTATTTATAAACAAAGCATTCTTCAAAGTGTATTTTATTTACTAAGGAATGTGATAAAACAGAGAAGAACGAGGGGCACAGAAAATATATTTTTATAGATTCCTGTAAAATGCATTTATTTAAAACCTATAATGGCTATAATCGAAAATATGTAATGCACAGAATATACGGTATTACCGAATATGCTAACGTGTAATGGTAATGATTGCGTTTTTTCGTTTATTTGCAATACTTTCTAATTTATACTATTTTGTAATTATAAAAAAATTAAAAAATGATGACATTGACTTTTGTAGGTTAGTACAACAATGAGTCGTGGTAGAAATTGCTTTGTACCTGGCTGTACAAGTGGGAATCCCAATAAAAACAAGGCAAATAAAGAACGGGGTGAAAGAAACCCAAGCCTTTTCAAAGCTCCTAATGTAAGTAGTATGACTATTTATTTATAAAAATTATGGATAGATGTTAAGAAAAACATTAAAATTATATACTGTCAGTGTACAGATTAAATTATAAACCAAATTAATAGGAAATATAGCCTAAAATCAACATGTGTATAACATAACCTAGGAGGCCTTGTTATAAAATTAAAATAATTTAATACTTACTAGGTGCTAAAATTACCTGTTGACATGTACCTATATTAACCACAGTTTGAACAGTGCTATTGAAAGTGAATATTAAATATTTATACTTCAAGATCGTATTCTCAAAATAACAGCTTTAATAGTGAAAAATGTTTTTTTTTTATTTTATTTAACAATTATATATCTTTTATTAGGATCCTAGCTTGCTACAGCAGTGGCAAAAGGCGATACCCAGATCAGACAAGACACTTAGCAGCAAAGATGCTGTTTGTGAACTACATTTTCTAGATGAAGATATTTTGACTCATTATGAGATCAAATTAACTGACGGAACTATCAGTAGAATTGAGCGGGGTAGACCATTATTAAAGGAGGGTTCAATTCCAAGAATTTTTCCTAACCTGCCTTCATATTTCTCTAGTAATAAAAGAAAGAGGAAACCACCATGTGTAAGGAGTGAAGCAACTGAAAAAGTTTCTAATTCAAAAAAAGTAAAAGGTCTGCCTATTAATCATGTTGAAAATCAAACTTCAGAACCTAACTTTGAGAATGAGAATGAAATTCTTCGTGATATTACTAATGTGCCAGTTGATGTTACAGACAGTAGAGTTACTATGTTCACAAATTTGAAAAATAGTTTGATATGTCAGATTGTAAATTTATTATAAAAATTATTTAGATTTTTGACTAGCCGTCGCAAGACGCTTTTTCATTGAGGAATAATAAGAAATAATTTGAAAATTATTGTATTGTGGTTGATACTTTTGATTGTGTATATAAACCATTTAGAATAGTTTTTATGAATATGAATAAGCTCTTTAAATTAATATGTAGGTATATTGTAGCTAGGTATTTTTTTAGAATGCATTTTTTTTAAATTGTAATTTTTTGTGTTCTTGATATAATATGATGTTCCTGTTTTATTTTTTGGCATAGTACATATAGATATTTAATATCTAAGTGCTAAATTGTATATTAAATTTATATATTGTATATTTTATTTATTAAATTTAGTGGAATTAGTTAATAGAAACAAAAGTTGTAATGTATTAATATTGCTAAATAAATATTTATATGATGAAATAAGTCAGCGTATATACATATTCACAACTCTGTATTTTTGTGCTTTTGAAATAAACTGAGTACATTATTTATTCATTAATATTTTATTTACAAACCTACCTTATATTAATAAAGTGAATATCAATAGAAAAACCTTTACAATTATTAGGTGACATTGAATATAATATATCTTGAATTTAATTGTCTACGAAACAGTGACAATTTGCAAAACTTTGCTAATGACATTAAAACTTACAATTCAACGCTAGAAAAAACGCTATTGAACACAGGAAACGTTTCAGCTCAATATACCTACTCTCTAGTTTCAGCTATAAAAAGTTATGGAATAGATAACACCGATCAAAGGGTGCAATGGTAACGTTCGTCTTCAGTTTCCATTTATGATTAAGTTATTCCTGATAAAATACTCTTAATTTTCGTTATTCAATCTGTCAATCGCCATAAAACCACTACTAGTTCGAAAGATTTTAATGTTTATTAAAATGGTATCACACTAAACTGCATGTAAACATGTCAATTTCAAATGTTTTAATGAAAAACTATGAACCTTTAAACTGCATCAACAAAACTATTAATAAAACACTAACACAATCACACCATAAACTATTTCATTCGCATTTCTCATCAAGAAACAATTACTGTTTACATCAAATCAAAGGTTGAACTGGTGATAAATTTGTTGCTGGAACTTCTATCTTTTTTGTACAACAGTTCTAGGGAAGATTTATTTTAGCAGCTTATATGTTTCTTCGGTCGTGTATGCACTAAAAAGAACCACATAATAAAACATTTTTATAATATCAACTTAGGAAAAGGATATATTAAACCGGCATCTAATATAACCTAACTAACTTTTCAAACTCAAATTTAAGGTTTTGTATTCACAATTTTAGCCACGCACATTGCTCAATTAGAAAAACCACGTTTCTAAAAGCTAACTCTGGTAAAAATATGCCCAAATATTAACTTGGCTCTATAATTTATAACAAAATAGTTATTCTTGCCATAAGAAGCTGTGTATTTCTAGCAGCGTTGCCAATGGTCCAAACTTATATTCCACAGCGAACATACCCAAATTCCACAAAATTCCACAATCACTAGCCAGGTTCGGTCTTTAGGTCTGCGACCAATCCGACATTGTTTTTATATAAACCACGTGATCTTAAAGGGATTTTACATTATATAGTGACGTGTGATATGTGATATGTCGAAAATTTCGTCGGATTGCTTGCAGATCTAAACATTATCTAAATACCGAACCTAGCTACTGATCTCGAGGGCGACGCTCTTTACAGAAATCTGTAAAATTATTATTTCGGCATCCAATTGGTAGAGGGCGCCAAACTCATATAAATGTAGTACCTAAATATACCGAGATCAGAGGGATTTTTAAAAAATTTCTCTTTTTGGGTAAAATAAAAATAAAACTTTTATAAGTTTATTATAAACATAAACAACACGTAAAAACCTTATCTAAAATTACATTATTTGTGTGCAAAGTAGGTAAACTAAAAAAATATTACATAAGGAACACATTAAACTTAACATAAAATAACACAACACACAAAGGAACTCATAAACATAAAAGTGTATAGGAAGATAGGAACCTCAAATTGCACATGAGCACATAAAGATTAATTATAAGTAAAACTGTTTTTATTTTTTGTTTTTCCAAATGTTACCTTTTAACATTTGGTTATTTGGTTCAAATGCTATAATGCCGCCCTCACTTTTTACACCTCCTTTGGTATGCAGGATTGCTACCAAACTATCTCGACCTAATTTATTTCGATTTTCCGACTTAATATTATTTAGAGTACTAAAAATTCGTTCCACGCTGGCGTTTGAGAAAGGTAAAATTAGTAAGAAATTGATGACGATCTCTAAGTTTTTAAGCTAAAAATTTGAGCCCAGTAATCTTCGGCACTTTTATTTTTATCAATGTCTTCGAGCAAAGCATGCTCCCGCCATTCGTTGTCCAAATCTTGAAGATTTATATGCTGCTTCAAAATGGGAAACATTGATACTACATGTACTAAAGATTTAATTTCAAACAATTGAGCCACTACTGGGTCTACAACATTGACTACCTGGAACACTGGCTCCTTAAATGTAAATCTTTTTTTGATATCCGTGACAAGTTCTATATAAAAGTTAATACTAGAATTAAAAAATGTATTCAGTTCTTGTCTATCAGCTTCGTCCTTAATTTCTAGTAGACTTGATGTTGCAAGGACACCAAGATATATCTTCTCATTTTCTAAGATATATCTTGGGTTGGCATGGTCCATTTTAAAAATGTTGGATGATTTAATGTGTTCTAACCCAATATAATTTGTGCATAGAGTATTTAAAAGGCGCTCCGTCTCATGTTTAACTTTGTATAGCAGTGACGCTTCTGATTGGAATAAGGTATTAAAATTATTTAAGAGTCCCAAAGTGTAGGAAAAAACTCCAAGTAGATCTTTGTGAATTTATTATTCATAGTAAGGAGCATTTCGTCTGTGGTTCTGGATGGATCGCTCATCACCGTTTCTCTTAAATATTCACGTAAAGGGACGTATTGCTCTAAAACACGGTCCACACAGCCTTGTAAAGATAGCCATCGAGTTACCGATGGGTGCAATATCTTGTGGATTTTCACATGAAAAAATTCCTGGAATTCCATAGATTTTTGCTGCTTGTGATAGCTTCGACTGAAGTGGGAGCCTAAATTTCGCACCAGGTCTTCCACCGATCGGGGTAGTGCAAGACAAGCCTTAGAAGCAGCCAGGTGAATCATATGGCATGAGCACTTGACACAAACAACTTGTGGCAAGTCCTGCTTCAGCATCGTAAAAACAGAGTTTTTTTCGCCAAACATTACGTTGCATGTATCGGCGGAGAACCCGACTAGATTTTCAAAGGGAATTTTTTTTGATGTTATTGTATTTCGTAGGCAATCATATAAATCTTTGGCCGTACCAGAAGCTACCTCCACCATATCAAAAAAACGCGTTACTACTTTTTTCTTATCTTCGCAAAAGTAGATGATCACAAATGCGCATTGCTTAATGGATCCCACGTCTGTAGTCTCATCCATAATAATACTAAAAAAGGCGCCTGGTTTTTCGAATTTTTTAAAGAGATCCCTGCTTATAATTTCCCCTAATCCAGCTTGCATAATAGCCGTAGCCTTTGTACGCCTAATAGATATATTTTTGGCAACTTGCGAGTCCGAAAAAATATCTTTGCAAAGGGGTTCTAAAGTGTCCATTAACAAAAATGGAAGATCATTTGAAGCTAGAAATCCTGTTAGCTTGAGTTCAGCCCTTCTTGTTGACAAATCTAATTGGGTATTTTTTCCAAAAACGTTATCAATCTTGTTATTCGCCGCAACTTGACTGAATTTTTTTTTATGTTTTGATGATAAGCTGTGTCGACAAATATCTGCTTTGTGCGCCAAAATGTCATCATTGCAAATAATGCATTTAGCAAATTCATTGTTATTTTGTACTTTACTCGATCTTTTTAACCAGTTTTTAAATTCATCAAGCTGCAGCCATGAGTCACGAAACTTATAAGTAAAACGCTTTTTTTTCCTAACAATGCTCACTTGATTTTCCGCCTCTTCTCCGTGATCATCACTTTCAAGATCTATAGCTTCAATTTCCTGCGCTCTCTGTAAAGAAAATGGTAAAAAAGCAGGTTTTATTACAAAATGTAAAAAACTTACGGTATTGGTATTGATTTTTCTTTTACGTGTAACTTCAATTTCATTTCGCATTTGCTGTGAATTTGCATTAGCATCGTCTGTGGCGATGGCATCACCTATAACTGGCTCCTGGACTGGAACGACCTCAATTGCAGAAATAGAAGGTTGAATTTCACTTCCTATATCCTAAAAAGTAGATTTATTGTATAATAATATATGTATATAGGTACCTATATATAGTCTGTAATTAGGTATAGGCGACTTTATCCTAATAAAAAAAAGATTTGACAGTCAATTTTCAAATGGCAAATTAATATAAATTTAAACGAACCATCACGAAAAAAGTGTTTTAGTACAGATAGGTTTTATCACAATAAACAAAAACTGAACCTACATTGTTATCTAATTCCACAACTGTGCAACTAGAAGAAGACGCCTCCACCTCTCTGTCGCCCTCATTACTCTCATGGTTTTTTTTATTTTTGGGAAGTTTTAATAGCCATTTATCCATTTTTCCAATTCCAATAGTATGTAATAGTATGTAAAGCTAACAGTAAAAGCAACCGCCACCACCACTCCAAAGGAAATTACACTGAAAGACAATTTATACAGAAATCAAAACAACTATAAACAAAACAATAAGAACAAAAATACTAACTTGATATTATAAAAGGTAGGTAATAAAATACCTTCCAAAACCAAAATATTATTTTGGTTTTGATGAACAATCGACCGACACGTTACACGATTGATCCGGTTGACCGTTTGATTCTTGTTTTGAATAGTTTTATCAGAGAAGAACAAACGTATTGTTCTTCTCTGGTTTTAATATGTAGGTACAGGTTTCTAGCACTGTGAGCGAGAATTTCGCTTTTAGCAACTGCCGCCCGATGGCGGTGTAGGTGCAAGTAGAGATCGGCAAAAATGCAATTGTGATAAATTAATGAGTCTTATAATGTTTTTTTGGTTACCGCTTTTTTTACTATTAGCTAAATAAGGAAAAAAAAGAAAAAAGGAATAATTCCGAAAATTCCACAAAATTCCACATTTATTCTATTCCACAAACGTTCCACAAAATTATTACGAATTCCACACATTTTGTGGAATTCCACAAAGATTGGCAACGCTGCTCTGCTGTCAAACCGAGGAAGCTGCTTAAAAGTGGGGACAGAAATTTCAAATTTGCCCATTGCCGATAAATCTCCTTTTTTAAGCCCTCCATAATGCATAGATAAAAGACTTATACTATTAAATAGATAGGCAACTTATAATACATTTCAATTTTATTATACAAGGGCGCCTCTGGTAGATGGAGGAAGAAATACTAATGGAAGAGAGGGGTGCGGGGAAGGGGGGTTGTTTTAGTTAATTTAAAATAAATTTGGACATACATGTAAGAACACTTTGTGTGCTTTTAATTAGGTCGAACATATTATAAACGATAAATCAACTGAATTAAAAGCATACAAAGTGTTCTTATATGTCGGATATTAATTAAAAAATATATTAAAAAGACTAGAAATAGTATATATTAAGTTGTTACAGTTATAATTTAATCTTTGGCGGTTTTCAGGAAATAGCAGGCAGTTTTACATAATTTTCCTCCCTTTGAAGTGAATTGGAAACGGCTATATAATTTTGGTGTAGGCAAGATTCCCAGTTTGTTTCCGTTTGAGACCTGAAATAATAAAAACAAATTAAATTAGATGTAATCATCTGCTGATCATGCTAATATAACACAACGCGCGTCCTTAATTCCTTACATGCACGGTAATAAAATTAAATAACTGCTCAGCAGGTGGCATTTATTAGCAGTACTAATTTAAAAAATCTATAACTCTAAGTAGATATGTTTAATTTACTTACCATTGTATCCTTCGGAAACCAGGTGTACAACAATTAAACTCCATGATAAAAAATAATTAAGAGTCTATACAAAACACAAATTGTCCCACCATTTTTAAAAAACATTGTCTAAAACAGAATACTGGCAAAAACTCTGAAGGAATTTAATTTTACAATAATTCGACAAATCAAAACGTAATCAAAACGAAATCAAAACGAAATCAAACCGTAAAATCACAACAAAAGCGTCTCTGAGTGACAGTTAAAAATCAAATTTTATTATTGTCAGATATTGACATTTGCATTGTTAATATTAAAATCTTCCGTAATACGGCCCTACGCGCCACCGGTGGAGGCTATGCATCGACTGAATGAGGCTGACTGTCGGTCGCTTAATTCATTTAGCGCATCGTCGGAGTAGGGCGTTTTAAATTCGAGCGTGGGAAAAATTGGCGAGTGTCCAAGCTATATTATTCTGTAAGCTGTGGCATAGGCTTGGCTCGAAGCTCAGACCCCGTCCAAATATGACGAGTCAACCTCAAATCCGCTTGAGGTTGACTCGTCTCGGGTGTCTCTCGCACTCGTCTCGACATATTTATACGCAGCTTAACGTGTTTCCGCCATTCTAGTTTTCAGTCTTTGATTAAATGGTAGTATAACAAATCCTCACTCTTTGTTTCATCAATAGGGTTCCCAACTTGAGCATCGGCGATTCCGGGACAATTATGTTTAAGCTTTTAACTAATTGAAACAAAACATTAAATATTAGAAATTAAAATATATTATGTGTGTAGTACACACTTTTTTAGTTTCCAGGTCCCGGCCAAGACAAAACTTTCGTCGGGACAAACTTTCTGATTCCTGGTTAATCCCGGCCAAACCGGGACGGTTGGGAACCCTACTCAACTCAGTTGATTTCGCCTGGGAAACCTGACAAAATTTGGAAAAGATTTGAATGTTGAAAAAATTAAATCTCATACGATAAAAAAAATATAATCAAGGGGGTTTTGGCAAAATAATAAGTTAAAATCAAAGATGTTAAAATACTCAATGTAACTAAAATTAGAACCTGATTAAAATTAATAGGAACTATTTATCTGCCAAAACTATGCAGGGTGAGTCTTAAATAAGTGCAAATATTTTTAGGGGTAGTATATTTCGACCCCAGAATTTTGTGGGCATATGTATATAGGTTGATTTAGAGCATTTTTTAAAAATATAGAGAGTTCTACAGGGTGTCCCCAAAAAAGTTACATATCATAGTTGTGTTTTGTAATGGAACACCCTATACAGGGTTGTTCACCACATACGACGCGGCGTATTGTAGCTAAACTATTTAATTTTTACAAATTGTAAGTTTTGGGTTCGTTGAAGGACTATCAGAGCTACAATTTAAAAATATTTTTACAAGATACAGAGTGTACCAAATAAATAAAAAATATCAAAGTTGTATTTTTTTAAATGGA